CACCCCGCACGTGTTGTGCGAAGGTGGGCATGCAGCCAGGACGGAGTGTGCCGGCTCAGCGCTCGGGGCCTCCAGTGCCTCTCCTCGGTCCCGGATATCCTGCGCCAGTATCACGTGCTGTTATGCCAGTACGGGTACACAGCCCTGTACGTCCTGTGCTGATGCCTCACACAGAGTGTGTGAAGGTAGGCATTCAGCCAGGACGGGTTGTGGCAGCTCTTCACTCCAGGTCTCCTATCCGTCTCCATAGCCCAGTCCGGCCTGTTCCTGCTCCACGCACCAAACCTACGGTGTGCGTCGCCAGCCCAGCCCGGCCTGTTCCTGCTCCACGCACCAAACCTACGGTGTGCGTCGCCAGCCCAGCCCGGCCTGTTCCTGCTCCACGCACCAAACCTACGGTGTGCGTCGCCAGCCCAGCCCGGCCTGTTCCTGCTCCACGCACCAAACCTACGGTGTGCGTCGCCAGCCCAGCCCGGCCTGTTCCTGCTCCACGCACCAAGCCTAGGGTGTGCGTCGCCAGCCCAGCCCGGCCTGTTCCTGCTCCTCGCACCAAGCCTACGGTGTGCGTCGCCAGCCCTGTCCGGCCTGTCCCTGCTCCACGCACCAAGCCTACGGTGTGCGTCGACAGCCCTGCCCGGCCTATTCCTGCTCCACGCACCAAGCCTACGGTGTGCGTCGCCAGCCCAGTCCGGCCTGTCCCTGCTCCACGCACCAAGCCTACGGGGTGCGTCGCCAGCCCTGTCCGGCCTGTCCCTGCTCCACGCACCAAGCCTACGGTGTGCGTCGTCAGCCTGGTCCAGCCCGTTCCTGCCACTCGCACCAAGCCAGGGGTGCGAGTCGTCAGCCTGGGCCAGCCCGTTCCTGCCACTCGCACCAAGCCAGGGGTGCGAGTCGTCAGCCTGGTTCAGCCCGTTCCTGCTACTCGCACCAAGCCCGGGGTGCGAGTCGTCAGCCTGGTAAGACCGGTCAGCTGCTCCACAACGGAGCGTAAGCAATCCGCTCCGTCAATGTCCAGTCCAGATCCAGCCAGCGGGGTCAGACCGGACCAGGGGCGCTATGGGGGGTTGATTGGAGGGTGGTGGGCAAGGCCGGAGCCAGAGCCGCCGCCGAGGAGGTATGCCCACCCAGCCCTCGCTTGTTTAGCCCTTATTGAGGCGCGGTCGCAGTCCGCGCCTTTAGGGGGGGGTACTGTCACGCTCTGGCTCCGGGACTCTGTATGTTGAGCCAGGGTGTGTTCATTCATTGGGTGTATTTCTATGTTGGTATTTCTGTTGGGTTCATTTCTATGTTTGAATGAATGACTCCCAATCAGAGGCAACGAGTGTCAGCTGTGTGCTGGTTGTCTCTGATTGGGAGCCATATTTAACTGTCTGTGTTTCACTTTGTGTTTGTGGGTTTTTGTTCCTTTACGGTCATTGTTACTGTGGACTTCACGAGTCGTCTTTTGTTTTGGTTTTTGTGCGTTTGTACAATAAAGTCAATCATGTTCGCTCAACACGCTGTGTATTGGTCTACTCCTTTTCAAGACGATCGTGACAAATACAGTATGTATACATATGAGATGGTAAGAAATGTGACCGTTCCTGGTGCAAAAACAATGTCCTATCCCGGAGCTCGAGTAAATTACATTACTAAGCTGCTCCCGAATGTACTACGTCGTGAAGGGCAGCTCTGAACAGTTGAAACTGGATTTTAAAGAACTGATTGACTCTCTGCTAGACCCTAACAAAAAAAACATCATATCTGGCCCTGTTACCTCTCTGAATCGTGGCATTGAACGCTTTAGCAGGATTCTTGCTCTTCACAACTATTGCAGCTCAATGGGTGTAACGTTTGTTGACAATTTCGATACCTTTGGAAACAAAACACGTTTTATAAGGAGGATGGGATCCACCCAAATCATTTGGGTTCCTGGATCCTTTCACAGCATTATAAGGCTGTGTTGACTGCAATGACTACTACAGCAACTGAAATAACTGCAACACTTAACAAAGAGTTGCAGTTAGTTTCGGAATGGGTGGCAAGGAATAAGTTAGTCCTGAATATTTCCAAAACTAAAAGCATTGTATTTGGGTCAAATCATTCACTAAACCCTTAACCTCAACTACATCTCTTAATGGATAATGTGGAAATTGAGCAAGTTGATGTGACTAAACTGCTTGGCGTAACCCTGGATTGTAGACTGTCATGGTCAAAGCATATTGATACAACAGTAGCTAAGATGGGGAGAAGTATGTCCATAATTAAGCGCTGCTCTGCCTTCTTAACAACACTTTCAACAAGGCAGGTCCTACAGGCCCTAGTTTTGTCACACCTAGACTATTGTTCAGTAGTGTGGTCAGGTGCTACAAAGAGGGACTTGGGAAAATTGCAGCTGGCTCAGAACAGGGCAGCACGGCTGGCCCATAAAAGTACACGGCGAGTTAACATTAATGACATGCATGTCAGTCTCTCCTGGCTCAGAGTGGAAGAGAGATTGACTTCATCACTGCTTGTTTTTGTAAGAGGTGTTGACAAGCTGAATGTACCGAGCTGTCTGTTTGGAATACTGGCACACAGCTCGGACACCCATGCATACCCCACAAGACATGCCACCAGAGGTCTCTTCACAGTCCCCAAGTCCAGAACAGACTATGGGAGGCACACAGTACTACATAGAGCCATGACTACATGGAACTCTATTCCACATCAGGTAACTGATGCAAGCAGTAGAATCAGATTTAAAAAACAGGTAAAAATACACATTATGGAACAACGGGGACTGTGAAGAGACACACACAAGGGTATATTCACATGCATACGCACACATTGTGATATTGTTTTATGGTGGTATTAAACATTTTGTATTGTAGATAGGTAGTGGTGTAATAATGTCATATGATGTATTGTTTTATATTTTGTTTTATATGTAATGTAAGTCCTTTAAAATGTTTGGACCCCAGGAAGAGTAGCTGCTGCCTCGGCAGCAGCTAATGGGGATCCCTAATAAATACAAATACAAATACAAATGCAAGATATGTCAACATTATTAAAGTGGCTAGTGTTCCATTTCTTAAAGTGGCCAGTGATTTCTAGTCTATGTCTATAGGCAGCAGCCGCTAATGTGCTAGTGATGGCTGTTTAACAGTCTGATGGCCTTGAGATAGAAGCTGTTTTTCAGTCTCTAGGTCCAAGCTTTGATGCACCTGTCCTGACCTCGCCTTCTAGATGATAGCGGGGTGAACAGGCAGTGGATCGGGTGGTTGATGTCCTTGATTATCTTTTTGGCCTTCCTGTGACATCGGGTGCTGTAGGTATCCTGGAGGGTGGGTAGTTTAACCCCGGTAATGTGTTGGGCAGACCGCATCACCCTCTGGAGAGCCTTGCGGTTGCGGGCGGTGCAGTTGACGTACCAGGCGGTGATACAGCCCGACAGGATTCTCTAAATTGTGCATCTGTAAAAGTTTGTGAGGATTTTAGGTGCCAAGCCAAATTTCTTTAGCCTCCTGAGGTTGAAGAGGCTCTGTTGTGCCTTCTTCACCACACTGTTTGTGTGGGTGGTATAGGGGGGGGTATACAGGTAAAATACCAAGTCCATATTATGGCAAGAACATATCAAATAAGCAAAGAGAAATGACAGTCCATCATTACTTTAAGACATGAAGGTCAGTCAGTACGGAACATTTCAAGAACTTTGAAAGTTTCTTCAAGTGCAGTCGCAAAAACCATCAAGCGCTATGATGAAACTGGCTCTCATGAGGACTGCCACAGGAATGTACGACCCAGAGTTACCTGCTGCAGAGGATAAGTTCATGAGAGTTACCAGCCTCAGAAATTGCAGCCCAAATAAATGCTTCACAGATTTCAAGTAACTAACCCATCTCAACATCAACTGTTCAGAGGAGACTGTGTGAATCAGGCTTTCATGGTCGAATTGCTGCAAAGAAACCACTACTAAAGGACACCAATAAGAAGAGGAGACTTGCTTGGGCCAAGAAACACGAGCAATGGACATTAGACCGGTGGAAATGTGTCCTTTGGTCTGGAGTCCAAATTAGAGATTTTTGGTTCCAACCCCCGTGTCGTTGTGAGACGCGGTGTTGGTGAACGGATGATCTCCGCATGTGTATTTCCCACCGTGAAGCATGGAGGAGGAGGTGTTATGGTGTGGGGGTGCTTTTCTGGTGACACTGTCTGTGATTTATTTAGAATTCAAGGCACACTTAACCAGCATGGCTACCACAGCATTCTGCAGCGATACATCATCCCATCTGGTTTGGGCTTCGTGGGACTATCATTTGTTTTTTAACAGGACAATGACCCAACACACCTCCAGGCTGTGTAAGTGCTATTTTACCAAGAAGGAGAGTGATGGAGTGCTGCATCAGATGACCTGGCATCCACAATCCCCCGACTTCAACCAAATTGAGATGGTTTGGGATGAGTTGGACAGTGGAGTGAAGGAAAAGCAGCCAGCAAGTGCTCAGCATATGTGTGAACTCCTTCAAGACTGTTGGATAAACATTCCAGGTGAAGCTGGTTGAGAGAATGTCAAGTGTGTGCAAAGCTGTCATCAAGGCAAAGGGTGGCTATTTCAAGAATCTCAAATATAAAATATATTTTGATTTGTTTAACAATTTTTTGGTTACTACATGATTCCATATGTGTTATTTCATAGTTTTGATGTCTTCACTATTATTCTACAATGTAGAAAATAGTCCAAATAAAGAAAAACCCTTGAATGAGTAGGTGTTCTAAAAACTTTTGACCGGTAATGTATATATATTTTTTAGTGTGAAAATATGCGGGTCGCCAGTTAGGGAACCCTGGGCTATAGTATGGGAGAGACACCATGACTAGACACCGTGCCTCAGGTGTCTTTGAATGTATTGAGAATGTAACACCAAGGGAAGGAAGATGGGACAACAAAGCTATAGAAGTCTAAGCTGTGATTGCTTTGCAGCCACCCAGCTAATTCTTGTCCTTAGGCCAAAAGTGTACTTACAAAATGCAGAACTTACTTGTGGAAGCTGGTACAGGGCTGCAGAACTTACTTGTGGAAGCTGGTACAGGGCTGCAGAACTTACTTGTGGAAGCTGGTACAGGGCTGCAGAACTTACTTGTGGAAGCTGGTACAGGGCTGCAGAACTTACTTGTGGAAGCTGGTACAGGGCTGCAGAACTTACTTGTGAAAGCTGGTACAGGGCTGCAAAACTTACTTGTGAAAGCTGGTACAGGGCTGCAGAACTTACTTGTGAAAGCTGGTACAGGGCTGCAGAACTTACTTGTGAAAGCTGGTACAGGGCTGCAGAACTTACTTGTGAAAGCTGGTACAGGGCTGCAGAACTTACTTGTGAAAGCTGGTACAATGTGCGTAGATGCGTAGTTTGTCTCGTATAACCCTCCCTGGTCGTGGTTTCCGCTGTAAGCCTGCTACCCGCACTGCCAACACCCTGGGACCCACCAGACGCTTGAACACCAGGGAGAACCAGTAGTCCTGGAACGCAGGCACGCAGGCACACACACACACACACACACACACACACACACACACACACACACACACACACACACACACACACACACACACACACACACACACACACACACAGGGGACACCTGTTACACAGTGCAAAACCACACACAGTATATATAGTCAGATAGCAAAGTAAGCATGAGCTACCATAATGATGTTGCCTGAACACAGACATGAGAAGGGCATGCTTTAGCTTAGCGGGTTAACATATTCTTTAGTGAGTGCGTTAACATTCCCATACTGTTCCGTTGAGCCCATTGACTTGTCAACACCGATATAAGGTCTGGCTAAATGGTTGTGTAGTATATCAGAACATGGGGCTGTAGAGGTGCAGAGGTGCTAAAACACTCCCCTATGTCTGATAACAGTTGTATAAAACATCAACAAAACTTAAGATACCACAGTGTGTGTTGAGTGAATCAACTGGATATGAGCCCCTCAGGGTTTACAAGTGTCCAATTCAATATAAATCACACATTATAATACTATTCACCTCAATCATACGGAGGAAAAAAAACATTTGGGAAAAGCAGAGGCTGTACGGGTGTCTACTCCTGTTTCAGCCACCATGGCCGACAAGACCAGGGGTAGAAGCTGGATACCAGATGCTTCAGTCTTTATTGAAAGAGACAATATAATACATACTATTAGATTCCACAGTGAGGAGATGTTACTAGTCTTATGTTTATTTAGCTGCAGGATGGATGTCAACTTCTAACATAACAATAGTCCAAAATGTAACTGCTGTGGGAAATATGCCTGGAAAAAAAAAAAACCTGTTTGAAATGATTAAATGATAAATACAATAAATAGCATATTACCCTGCACTCTCAGCAAAGACATGGGAGCCTTGGACATGACAGCACATAGTATACCTTTACATTGATAGGTAGAGCAAAGCCAGTAACTTCACAGTGGTCTCCCCTGCACCTCTCCTCTCCTCTCCTCTCCTCTCCTCTCCTCTCCTCTCCTCCTCTCCTCTCCTCTCCTCTCCTCTCCTCTCCTCTCCTCTCCTCTCCTCTCCTCTCCTCTCCTCTCTCCTCTCCTCTCCTCTCCTCTCCTCTCCTCTCCTCTCCTCTCCTCTCCTCTCCTCTCCTCTCTCCTGTCCCACATCTCTTCTCTCTCCTGTCCGGTCCCTCTCCTCCTCTTCTCTCCACTCTCCACTCTCCGCTGTCCTGCCCCCCCCCCCCCCCCTCCTGTCCGGTCCCCATCTCTTCTCTGCTTTTTCCCCTGTCCTGCCCCTCTCTCCTCTCCTCTCTCTCTATCTATTTTCATGCCCCTCTCCTCTTCTCTCCTGTCCTCTCTCTCCCCTGTGCTGCCCCTCTCCTCTAATCTTCTCCCCTCTCTCCCCAAACTCAACACCTCACCAGAGGTTCTGAACAACATGTGTGTGTCAGGAAGTTCCCATGCAATCCTGCATATGGCAACATTTAAGGGATTTTTTTCCCCACCAGGCCAAGCTTTAACTTAATTTGCTACTCCGCCATCGGGAGAGCCCAGAGTACAGTAAGAGTACTGAACAGAAGTGTACAATTTGGGCTATAGAGAGGGTTATCGGCAGAGGCAGCTGGGAACAGAGCAGACAGTAATATTATGAAGAAATCTGTAGATTCTGAGGTAAAACAAAGAGCAGTTCTTCGGGTGAGAGCCTTGGAGCGTATGACTGTGGTTACATGAGTGCCTTTCTCTTGCAAGATGGACAGATAATAGCAAACATTGGGGAATTATGTTATTCTCCTTTTACACTGTGTCTGGCTATGTTAGAAACTTATATTAGCAAAGTGCATGCCCTGCCTACCTCAGGATTTCTCCTCTTTCCAGCCATTACTTCCCTGTTTTTGTGGGGTGTAAATTAATTTGTCACATAATTGTTGCTGGATTGATTTATTTAAAAAGAAAACTAATGCACATTCCAACTCTTGTTTGTACAAAGAAAATGTTCCCATTGATTGTATGATCCCACAGACAGAAGAGAAAGCAATCTTTGCACAGGTGGGTGTTCTTTTTTTGTAGTGTTAAAAAGCCAAATCTCATAAATAGCGTTTTTTTGTAAATTATTTATGCATTGGTAAATTCTAGAGCAGCACATTTAAAACAGGGAGGTATCATTTTCTTAAACATAGTCTCCACCTAATGATTAATATGCAAGAGGATTTGACAAAAACAATAATGAATACGAGTGAAAGCCATGATGAAAGCTACAGCAGATTGGGGGATTGTGAGGGGCGGTACTTTATAGCTCCATTGGTGGCGCATGGCACTTGCAACACCATGATAGTGGGTTCGATTCCCGGGACCACCCATATACGTAAAATGTATGTACACATGACTGTAAGTCGCTTTGGATAAAAGTGTCTGCTAAATGGCATATAAAGGGCATTCGGAAAGTATTCAGACCCATTCTCTTTTTCCACATTATGTTATGTTACAGCCTTATTCTAAAATTGATTAAATAAATACAAATCCTCATCAATCTACACACAATACTCCATAAAGACAATGCGAAAACAGGTTTTTAGAAATTTTAGCAAATGTATTAAAGATAAAAAACTGAAATACCTTATTTACAGTATTCAGACCCTTGCTATGAGACTCGAAATTGAGCTCAGATGCATCCTGTTTCCATTGATCATCCTTGAGATGGTTCTACAACTTGATTGGAGTCCACCTGTGGTAAATTCAATTGATTGGACATGATTTGGAAAGGCACACAGCTGTCTATATAAGGTCCCACAGTTGACAGTGCATGTCAGAGCAAAAACTAAGCCATGAGGTCGAAGGAATTGTCCGTAGAGCTCAGAGACAGGATTGTGTCGAGGCACAGATCTGGGGAAGGGTACCAAGAAATGTCTGCAGCATTGAAGGTCCCCAAGAACACAGTCGCCTCCATCATTCTTAAATGGAAGAAGTTTGGAACCATCAAGACTCTTCCTAGAGCTGTCCGCCCAGCCAAACTGAGCAATCGGGGGAGAAGGGCCTTGGTCAGGGAGGTGACCAAGAACCTGATGGTCACTCTGTCAGAGCTCTAGAGTTCCTCTGTGGAGATGGGAGAACCTTCCAGAAGGACAACCATCTCTGCAGCACTCCACCAATCAGGCCTTTATGGTAGAGTGGCACGACGGAAGCCACTCCTCAGTAAAAGGCACATGACAGCCCGCTTGGAGTTTGCCAAAAGGCACCTAAAGGACTCTCAGACCATGAGAAATAACATTTTCTGGTCTGATGAAACCAAGATTGAACTCTTTGGCCTGAATGCCAAGCGTCACGTCTGGAGGAAACCTGGCACCATCCCTACGGTGAACCATGGTGGTGGCAGCATCATGCTGTGGGGATGTTTTTCAGCGGCAGGGACTGGTAGACTAGTCAGGACCGAGGGAAAGATGAACTGAGCAAAGTACAGAGAGATCCTTGATGAAAACCTGCTCTAGAGCACTCAGGACCTCAGACTGGGGTGAAGGTTCACCTTCCAACAGGACAACGACCCTAAGCACACAGCCAAGACAACGCAGGAGTGCCTTCGGGATAAGTCTCAGAATGTCCTTGAGTGGCTCAGCCAAAGCCTGGACTTGAACCCGATCGAACATCTCTGGAGAGACCTGAAAATAGCTGTGTAGCGACACTCCCCATCCAACCTGACAGAGCTTGAGAAGATCTGCAGAGAAGAATGGGAGAAACTCCCCAAATGTGCCAAGCTTGTAGCATCATACCCAAGAAGACTCGAGGCTGTAATCGCTGCCAAAGGTGCTTCAACAAAGTACTGAGTAAAAGGTCTGAATACTTATGTGAATATAATATTTCTGTTTTTTATTTGTAATACATTTGAAAAAAAATCTAAAAACCTGTTTTTGCTTTGTCATTATGGGGAACTATGTGTAGATTGACGAGGGAAAAACCCCCAATTTAATCAGTTTTAGAATAAGGCTGTGACGTAACAAAATGTGGAAAAAGTCAAAGGGTCTGAATACTTTCCAAATGCATTGTATAAAGATGCTGGTTGGATAGAGGGTAATTTCATGCAAATGTATTTAACTACTTGAGTTTATTTTCAAATATTATTTTTCTATCAATATAATAACAAAACACATAAATAGGCCATACATGGTTTAAATATGTTAGCATGGGTCTTTTCAAATAACATTTTTTATATATTTGACAGTTTAAACATGAATGCTACCAAAACTGATGGATTACCTTGACTTTTTGTCTGTCATTATACAATTATTTATGTGCTATAATTCAGTCAATATTTGATGGATTTCTTATTTATTTAAAAAGAATTGAGTAGCTCCATTACGCAACAATTATCAGAACTGTATTTCTTACCTTTTATAAATGTCTGTTATATTCTATGAGTCTTTAGATATACATATGTAGATTTGCCTAACCTGGGTTCCAAGAGACAAAACCCATCAGGTCAGTGAAACTTCATGACCTCCACAGTAGTCTTTCTCTGTCTGATCAGTCAGAGCTGTGATTAACGAGAGCAGGTTTAACCAGGCTGATCTGTGTGCCTGATTTACTAACTGAGAGAGATGGAGATGTCAATGAGATGTCTGCAGGATGTGCCCAGTTAGACATCTGGAGAGCAGGGAGAGAATCAGGGGAAAAAGACATTGTTCAGCCTGAGAATGGGGTAGTTTGAAGAGATCAGTTTAGATATTGTTTACCAGTAGTAGCCACTTTCAGGGTTAAATAACATATAGTAGTGAGAAAAAACTGGATGGCGAAGAACTTGTGTTTGAAACGCTGCAGTCAATAGAGAGGGGAGATGGATGGGGGAGAATCCTCAGCATCTACCTAGTGAGGAGAGGGGTAGGGCAGGTACCAGAATGAATCAGTTGGACGGGCATTTGATTTCCATAGCGGGTGGCACTTTTTCTTCACGGGACCTCCTATGCATTTTCTTTATGGGTTTTACAGTAAAGACGTAATTTAACTGTAAATATGTACACTACCAGTCAAAAGTTTGGACACACCTACTCTGTAAAGGGTTTTTATTTATTTTGACTGTTTTTTACATTGTAGAATAATAGTGAAGACATCAAAACTATGAAATAACACACATGGAATCATGTAGTAACCAAAAAAGTGTTAAACAAATCAAAATATATTTGATATTTGATATTCTTCAAATAGCCACCCTTTGCCTTGATGACAGCTTTACATACTCTTGGCATTCTCTCAACCAGCTTCATGAGATAGTCACCTGGAATGCATTTCAATTAACAGGTGTGTCTTCTTAAAAGTTAATTTGTGGAATTTCTTCCCTTCTTAATGTGTTTGAGCCAATCAGTTGTGTTGTGACAAGGTCGTGGGGTATACAGACGATAGTCCTATTTGGTAAAAGACCAAGTCCATATTATGGCAATAACAGCTCAAATAAGCAAAGAGGAACGACAGTCCATCATTACTTTAAGACATGAAGGTCAGTCAATATGGAACATTTCAATAACTTTTAAAGTTTCTTCAAGTGCAGTCGCAAAAACCATCAAGCGCTGTGATGAAACTGGCTCTCATGAGGACCGCCACAGGAATGGAAGACCCAGAGTTACCTCTGCTGCAGAGGATAAGTTCATTAGAGTTACCAGCCTCAGAAATTGCAGCCCAAATAAATGCTTCACAGATTTCAAGTCACAGACACATCTCAACATCAACTGTTCAGACGGGATTGTGTGAATCAGGCCTTCATGGTCGAATTGCTGCAAAGAAACCACTACTAAAGAACACCAACAAGAAGAATAGACCTGTTTGGGCCAAGAAATATGAGCAATGGACATTAGAACGGTGGAAATATGTATTTTGGTCTGGAGTCCAAATAGGAGATTTTTGGTTCCAACCGCCGTGTCTTTGTGAGATGCGGTGTGGGTGAACGGATGATCTCCGCATGTGTAGTTCCCACTGTAAAGCATGGAGGAGGAGGTGTTATGGTGTGGGGGTGCTTTGCTGGTGACACTGTCTGTGATTTATTTAGAATTCAAGGCACACTTAACCAGCATGGCTACCACAGCATTCTGCAGCAATACGCCATCCCATCTGGTTTGGGCTTAGTGGGACTATCATTTGATTTTCAACAGGACAATGACCCAACACACCTCCAGGCTGTGTAAGGGCTATTTTACCAAGTAGGAGAGTGATGGAGTGCTGCATCAGATGACCTGGCATCCACAATACTCCAACCTCAACCCAATTGAGATGGTTTGGGATGAGTCGGATGGCAGAGTGAAGGAAAAGCAGCCAACAAGTGCTCAGCATATGTGGGAACTCCTTCAAGACTGTTGGGAAAGCATTCCAGGTGAAGCTGGTTGAGAGAATGCCAAGAGTGTGCAAAGCTTTCATCAAGGCAAAGGGTGGCTATTTGAAGAATCAACTATAAAATATATTTGTATTTGTTTATCTTTTTTGGTTACTACATGATTCCATATGTGTTATTTCATAGTTTTGATGTCTTCACTATTATTCTACAATGTAGAAAATAGTTAAAATAAAGAAAAACCCTTGAATGAGTAGGTGTGTCCAAACTTTTGACTGGTACTATATTACCTTTTAATGTGGCATGAACACAACCAGTCACAATGTTTTCATCTGATTGTCAAACAAATCACTTCAAAAAGTAGGTTACCTTCACACGTTTGTCCAAAATAATTGCAGCAGCCGAACAGTGCACTGTGCACCCTCCAACTTTCCTTAAATTCGCAAATGGCTGAAACTACCTCACCGGAGAAAAGCATCTGTGCGAGCGAAACAGCGCCCTTCTGTCTTACTAAGTGTAGCCCATGTATTTGATGCTGTCTGGCCCAAACTAATATGACATGACATGCCATACTGTTTTTGGCCAGATAGCATAAGAATCATGGGCTACACATACAGATACAGAGGGGCGCTGTTTCCAACAATGGAAAAAGAGAGAGAGGAAGAGAAAGATAAAGAGAGAGAGAGAGAGAGAGAGAGAGAGAGAGAGAGAGAAGCGAGATAGAGGAGAGAGAGAGAGAGAGGAGAGAGAGAGAGAGAGAAGAGAGAGAGAAAGACGAGAGAGATAGAAAAGAGGAGAGCTAGGAGAATAGAAAGAGAAAGAGAAAGAGAAGTCCCATCTAAAGAGAGAATCAGAGGATACAATAAAAAAGATAAAGAAGAAATATACAAAGAAAGATAAAGAAAAATAGATAAATCTAATAGAGAAGAGATAAAAGAAATAGATCTATAGCGAGGCGACGAGCTAGAGCTAGAATATAAATAAAAGAGAAAGATAAAGAAAATAGAAAGAGATAGAAGTATATAGCTAGAGAGAAGAAGTAGAGTATGGTAGACCCAGTACAACCATGGAGGAGAGGAATAGTAGTGGTGGGGTTGAGGGGTGGGCAGATAAAGCGAGTCCTCCATTGTCAGAACAGGGTCCAATGAGTGTTCAGAGAGATGGAAAGGGACATGTGGTTGGCGTGTGAATAAATCTCTGCGGCCTGCGGACAGCTCTGGCCTGTAGTGGTTCCTCCCAGCAGGTAGACTGGCAGAGCAGTCCGACGCCCAGCCACATTAAAAGCATTGTGATCCTAGCGGGGGGCATCCTTCCCAGAAAATAACAGAGAATGGAACTGGAGGGAAAATAATTGTCTGCAAGTTTTGGAGCAGTCTCCCTAATAAACACCACCCATCCCTGCAGCAGCTGAATAAAGAAATAAGTTCTCCACATCTTCTTTAGGCATCCACCAGTTGCTGATAAATCATTTTTATGAACATGGCACTGCAGTAGCATTGTAAAACTGACTCTCTGTCTGGATCAAAGAGCCTTGGATGTCTTGATCCCTATCTCAATCTCAATCTCTGGCAGCCCTCTTCACGTTCCCCTAAACAAGTGAATACTCCTACAGTCCTGGTCCTGGTGACCCACAGGGTGCAGGCTTTTGTTCTAACTTAGCACTAAAACCCTTAATTAAACTAATCAACTTACTGTATCATCTGGCAAATGATTAGTTGGGTGTAATGCTTGCCCTGAGCATAGTCCTGTACCCCTGATGCAGCATAGTCCAATCCCAACAGCAGAGGGCAGTAGTGGGAGCCAGGACTGGACTGCACCATTGCAGACAGTGCCGGAGAGGGGAGTAGCAGCTTTTGCGTACCTACAGCTCAGGTTGCAGATCTGTCACCAGCCCAGCGCTGCACACAGAGGGGCTCACATTTTGTAATGGGGGGGAAGGGGAGAGTCGTGACACCATCCTGGTCACTGACAAAGGGCTAGGGTTACACAGTGATTCGCCCTCGCGTCCAGCCAGTCAACACCACTAAACGCCTTTCATCTGGCCTAATAGCTCCCACGGGAAAGAACGCTAGGTGCCACAGAGGACTGAGATGAGCCTACAGTAGCTGCCAAAAGCCACATCGAAGAACGGACTAAGAGTAGCTAACCAGAGTAGCAATAGCTCCAATGAACGTTCCCTTGTTATCAAGTGAGAGTATAAAGGAATGATTTGTCCAGTACTGCTTCATGATGATAAGGAGAGCAGAGTGTGAGACTCACCGGTAGTGGGTTGAAGTGCTGGTCTACGAGGTGTGTGTATCCATAGTCGAAGAACGAGTGTCGCAGGACAACATCAATCCCCTGCATCGCTGCCATGCCCAGAGTGTTCAGCCACCTGAAACCCACACACACGCACACACGCACACACACACACACACACACACACATACACACACAAAGTGAGAATAATGCCTGAGTGAGGTGATACTTTATTTGATTGATTGATTTATAGATTGATTGATTGTACTTACAGAAAGCCAGCAGCGTAGGTATCAGAGAGGTTATTGGTTCCTCCAGCCCACTCCGGACCTACTCCACCCAACCACACCTTCTTACCAGGTGCATGGCTATTCACTACCTGAGAGAGAGAGAGAGACGAGAGAGAGAGAGAGAGAGAGAGAGAGAGAGAGAGAGAGAGAGAGAGAGAGAGAGAGAGAGGAGAGAGAGAAGGAGAGAGAGAGAGAAGAGAGAGAGAGAGAGAGAGAGGAGAGAGAGAGAGAGACAGAGAGACAGAGAGGAAACAGAGAGGAAACAGAGGGGGCAAGAGAGGGAGAGGAAAGAGAGAGGGACAGAGTGGAAAGAGAGGGATAAAGAGAGAGGGGGGAGAACAGACAACAGAAAAATAGAGGATCAGATCAAAGAAAGAGAAAGGGGCTGCAGGTAGCCTAGCGGTTAGAGCATTGGGCTAGTAACCGTAAGGTCGCTAGTTTGAATCCCCGAGCCGACAAGGTGACAAATCTGTTGATGTGCCCTTAAGCAAGGCACTTAACCCTAATTGCTCCAGGGTTGCCGTTAATAATGGCAGACCTTGGCTGTGACCCCACTCTCTGAGGGTGTCTCACGGGGAGTTGGGCCCTAATTTATGTGTTCTCTGGTGCTGCATGGAAAATGGTCCAGGAACAAAAGGACAATGCCCAAGGACTAGTCAGCCCTTCCCCCTCTGAGGGGCCAAAATGTATCTCTCTGTTACAGTATTCAGAGGACTGACTATTGTGACAGAATAATGCTATTGTATCCATGTCTGGTATCTATCTGAAACTTGTTCACTGAGGATAACTCTGATGCTATCTCTATATATATATATATATATTGAGCTGTAGTCAATTAACAGCATTCTAAGAGAGGCATTTAATTCCTTTATTTTTTACCTTTATTTAACTAGGCAAGTCAATTAAGAACAAATTCCTATTTACAATGACGGCCTACCAAAAGGCAAAAGGCCTCCTGCGGGGACAGGGGCTGGGATTAAAAATACAAATATAGGCTAAAAAACCCACATCACGACAAGAGAGACACCACAACACTACATAAAGAGAGACCTAAGACAACAACATAGCATGGCAGCAACACATGCATGGTAGCAACACCACATGACAACAACATGGTAGCAACACAACATGGTAGCAGCACAAAACATGGTACAAACATTATTGGGCACAGACAACAGCACAAAGGCAAGAAGGTAGAGACAACAATACATCACATGAAGCATGCACAACTGTCAGTAAGAGTGTCCATGATTGATTCTTATGGATGTATTATCTCTGTGGTTACTTGTGTCTGTACAGGGTGAACTCTGAATTACTTTATTATGCAAAGGGATGTTATTGTCTTCTCAGGAATTCTGTCTTATTTATATTGTTCTTTAGATTCTGTGACAGATTCTCTGTGGAGATTGGACCTGAGAGTGTTTAGGTTACTGTAAACTTGGTCTCGTTTGATTGGTTAATGGGGGTTGGTTTTGGGTTGGAAGGTTACACCTTCAGATATTATAAATGGAATTAAATGCCTTTGTTCTCTCTCTTAGAATGCTGTTCATTGACTACAGCTCTAATGCACTCCACACTTCCCACCTGGACAAGAGGAACACCTACGTGAGAATGCTATTCATTGACTACAGCTCAGCCTTCAACACCATTATCCCCTCCAAGCTCGTCACCAAGCTTAGGACTCTGGGTCTGAACACCTCCCTCTGCAACTGGATCCTGGACTTCCTGATGGGCCGACCCCAGGTGGTGAGGGTAGGCAACATCATCTCCACCACGCTGACCCTTAACACAGGGGCCCACAGGGGTGTGTACTTAGTCCCCTCCTGTACTCCCGGTTCACCCACGACTGTGTGGCCACGCACAATTCCAACACCATTATCTAGTTCGCTGACGACACTACATTTACATTTTTGTCATTTAGCAGACGCTCTTATCCAGAGAGACTTACAGTTAGTGAGTGCATACATTTTCATACTTTTTCATACTGTTTTCATACTGGACCCCCGTGGGAAACGAACCCACAACCCTGGCATTGCAAGCACCATGCTCTACCAACTGAGCTACACGGGGCTACCACACGGTGGTAGGCCTGATCACCAGCGACGATGAGTCAGCCTACAGGGAGGAGGTCAGTGACCTGACAGTGTGGTTTAGGAGCAAGACCAAGGATCTGATCGTGGACTACAGGAAACGGGGGGGGCTTGCACGCCCCCATCCACATCGACGGGGCGGCAGTGGAGCAGGTATACAGCTTCAAGTTCCTCGGATGGCAGAGGGTTGTGCGGACAGCCCTGTACATTACTGGGGCCGAGCTCCCTGCCATCCAGGACCTCTATATAAGGCGGTGTGAAAAGAAGGCCCGGAAAATCCCAACCACCCAAGCCATAGACTATTTTCCCTGCTGCCGTACCGGTGCATCAAGTCTGACACCAACAGGCTCCTGAACAGCTTCTATCCCCAAGCAATACGACTGATAAATAGCTAACAAAATGGCTACACGGACCGAGTCTACCTTGTATCTTTATTAAACTTTTATTTCAGTATTTGCACTGTCTCTATGCACACTCACAGGGCCCTACACACTCACACACACTGTCACTCCAACACACACACAAACACTCACTCCATAATTTGCTCATTCACACATAATATGCACATACATATATACTGACTCTACACACCCGCACACCCACTCACATGCAAGCATCTGCTACTCTGTTTATCTTATATCCTGAAGTGAAGTCCTTTTTTTTTTCTTCTAGTAATACATTGTTATTGATTATTGCATTGTTGGGTTTTGCTTTGTAATGCTTGTTAATGTTTTGTAACTTAAGCTTGATGCCTTGTATGTGAATCCATTCATTTTGTTATAGGCTTTGGTTTTTCCATTTATGTTTTGAGGTTGGACGTATAGCTCGTTAGCACATAGGGCACCAATGTCACCTCATTGGTCAGTATGTGTTACACATTTGCTGGTTGCCATCTCTGTGCTGACCCAGGTGCTATTTAAGAGTGGCTGGCCCAGTGTTCCAGTTGTCTTGATAGTTGTGGAGGGTTAACACCTTTAGTTGGTGCTCCCTATTTAAATTTTTAGACAAACAATCCTTTATCTGATTTTGTTTTGCTCCACCTTTTTGTTTTACTTCCTGTCTTTAAGTTTGATGTGGGTTTTTCTTTTTTTTGCCTCTTCTCTGGCAAATTTAGTGGGCGTTCATGGTGGGTGTCTTTTAGGTTCCAGTTATTCAAGAATTGCCTTCACGAAAGGGTTGCGACCTACATTTATGAGCACAAGGATCTCACTCTTGAGAAAGCTGCAGTTCTTGCAGATGAGTTTGTGTTGACACACAAAACTACCTTCACAAACAAAGCACCCAGTAGTTATCCCTACGCAAAAAGCAATCCAGAGTAGTCACCTCCTACTATGAGGTTTCGTCCCATTTCTTCAGTGCCCAAAGAGAAAGATCGGCAGAAAAAGTTATTTTTTTGTATCCGACAGTTTGTCATTACTGCCTTGAGAAAGGACACAGTCTCTCAGTTTCCTAAGTCGAAACAGAAGAATGAGAGCGAGAAAAATAAGTTTCTACTTGTAGGAGCACTCCAGCTCATCAAGTCTCTGGTTGGGACTGGTGTATCTCATAAACAAGATTTTAGATCAGATGTGTATCAACCCTTTGTTTCAGATGGGTTCGTGTCTCTGCAGAGTGGCGATGCTGTTAAGCAGCCGGTGACGATACTGCGAGACACTGGGGCAGCCCAGTCCTTCATTTTGGGGTGTTTTGCCTTTGTCCGACTCTTCAGCAACTGGTTACAGTGTGTTAGTACAAGGCGTGGAGACGGGTTGTAGGAAGTTCCTTTGTATAATGTGGAACTCGAGTCTGATCTTATTTCTGGTTCCGTTGTCGTTGGAGTGAGGCCGAGCCTGCCGGTGAAGGGGATCTCATTTATTTTGGGAAACAATTTGGCTGAAGGGAAGGTTGTGCCAAATCCTGTCATTTGTAAGGAACCCAGAGTAGAAGAACCTGATGGGTTATCAGAAAAGTACCCTAGCATGTTCCCAGCGTGTGCCGTTACACGTGCTATGTCTAAGAAAGTCGCAGGAAGTAAGTCTAGTGTTGAGGAGGATGTCAGCGATCCCACCATGGCCGATCTGTCTGAGATGTTTATGGGTGATCCTGATTTTGCTAAACCTGAGTTGACCTTTCCTTTGAAAACTCCAAAGGAACCAGAGGACAGGTTCCAGCAAGTGCTACAACAGTTGGGTGTAACCAATTGCCCCTCTAGTGTCTACCATCCAGAGGCTCAAGGTGCTCTTGAGAGATTTAATCAGACTCTGAAGTCTACAGTGCATTCGGAAAGTATTCACTATGATCACAGCAAAAATCCAAGATGGCAGCATGTCAAGTCGTTTGTCAAGTCGTTTGTTTGTGACTAGTACATTTTAACCTACTAATAATCTATTTATTTATGGTTGCGTAACTTCGTTGTTGCGTAGTGCAAACTATTTTATTTTTGCTGGTGTAAAGATCACGGGTCCTCCTCAACTCGGAACTTCATTACTTGAAGTTTACCAAAGTAACCCTATCTCTGGCTGGCCTGAGTTCCTCGTTAGTCCGCGGAGTGTCTTGTCCGAGCTGCTCCTTGCTCTTCGCCTGGCTGTCAGTGGCAGCTCAACCCGTTCTCTCTATCGCCCTCAACACTCAATCTACTCACACGCGCAAACACTCACATTGACTCACATACACGCTGTCCCTCTCTCCACTTACCTTCGTTGGCCTCTTGTTTTTTGGTCAGAGAAAATGACAATTTACGTGGTATTGCTTTGTGCACTGACTTTATTGAACTCTGGAGAAAACGAACATTGTCGCAGGGTGAGTACATCTGACAATGTACTCTCGCGTCCATTAGACATTTTGTCTGCAGGAACTCGCTCTTTTTCACTCGGTCCACTCGTCCAAGTGCCGATGCATTTGTGGCATGATGTGAACAGTACGAATTTGTGTCACTACCAAAGTCTAATGGTTTTAAATGACTGTTTTGTATTGTCTGGAAACTCACTTGTAGAATTCGCTTGCAGTAGGTCTCTTAAAAAAGAGAAGCCGTGCAAGGTTATTAAACAGAGGTGCCTAGTTATTCTTCTGTTGTTGATATCAGGTAATGTGCAACCTAACCCTGGCCCTGATATGCAATGTCTCCAAACCCCCTCTGATTTTAAATCAAGATCTGGTTTTGGTATTTTTCATTTAAATGTACGCAGCCTGTTGTCAAAAATTGATGGGGTTAGGATTTGGGCTAAATCAACTGATGCTGATGTAATTGTGTTTTCGGAAACCTGGCTCAGCAAGTCTATTTTTGATAAGGATATTTGTATAAGTGGTTACAATGTTTATCGTGCAGATCGGGTTAAGAAAGGTGGGGGTGTGGCTATATATGTAAAATCTAAATTCCATGTAAGTGTGGCAAAGTCTGAAACTATTTGTAAACAGTTGGAATTTCTTGCTTTGAATATTGAGGTTTCAAAGGGCCTCTCTATAACTGTGATTGGCTGTTATAGACCCCCCTCTGCTCTTGGTGATGCATTTTCTTCTTTGACGCACCTTATGTCTAAACTTCTTTACAGTGAAATGATCTTGATTGGTGATCTCAACTGGTGTTGGTTAAAGCCGGTGTCTGATGATTTAAAAATGTTTTGTAATTCTATGAATCTTACCCAGTTGATTAATTCACCCACTCGCCCAAATCTTAAATGCCCTGATAAATCTACCCTGATTGATTTGATATTGACAAATGTTCCACATAAATATTCTGCGGTTGGTGTTTTTTGTAATGATTTAAGTGACCATTGTGCTGTTGTTGCTGTTAGAAATACTAAGGTTCCAAAGACAAATCCACGTTTTATTCGTAAGAGAAATTTGAAGTGTTTTAATGAGCAGGCTTTCTTTCATGATTTGTTTTATTTTGACTGGAGCAAGATTGAGCTTATCCCTGATGTGGAAACTGCCTGGATATTCTTTCATGATGTTTTTTTCCAAATAGTAAACAAACATGCACCATTCCGCAGGTTCAGGGTTAAAGGGCGGGATAATCCATGGTTTTCTTCTGAGCTGTCTTGTATTATTCACGACCGTAATCTAGCCTGGGCTAAAGCAAGGAAATCTTGTTCTGATGCTGATTGGCTTATTTTTAGGCAGTTAAGAAACAAGTGTTCTTTTCTTCTCAGGAAGGCCAAGTCTGAATATTTTATGTCTGTTACCACTGATAACCTGAATGACCCTAGAAAGTTTTGGAATGCTATTAAGTCTATGTCTGGTAACAGTAATGTTAATGAATTACCGTCATGTGTTTTGAAGGACTCTGTTGCTATATATGACAAAACTGAAATGCTGAATTGTTTCAATGAGCACTTTGTATCATCTGGTAGGCTGTTTGATTCAGTGTCCTCTGTCTCTGTACAACCCTGTGTGGATGAACCAGTGTCCTCTGTCTCTGTACAACCCTGTGTGGATGAACCAGTGAGAGCTGGTCAAACTTTTAGTTTTCTGCCATTCTCAGTGCAGGTGGTACATAAAGCCCTGAAATCCTTAGATCAAAGAAAGCCTGCAGGTCCTGATCTTTTGGATCCCTGCTTTTTAAATCTGGCAGCTGATTTCATAGCTGAACCACTTACATATCTGTTCAATCTAACCCTGGAATGTAATGAAATTCCAAAGATCTGGAAATCAGCATTTGTCCTACCACTTTTAAAAGGGGGAGATCCAACTCTTTTAAATAATTATAGGCCAATCTCAAAGCTGTCACCCCTGGTGAAAATACTTGAAACCCTTGTAAGTGAACAGCTAAAATAGTTTTTATTTACTAACTCTATTTTATCAATGTATCAATCGGGCTTCAGGAAGAAGCATAGCACAATTACAGCAGCCATTAAGGTTTTAAATGATATCACTGAAGCCCTTGACATAAAACAGCACTGTGTCTCACTTTTTATTGATCTCTCTAAGGCTTTTGATACAGTTGATCATGCTATACTAAGGAAGAGATTGTTGAGTGTAGGTCTTTCGGAGCATGCAGTTGCATGGTTTGCTAACTATCTGTCTGATAGAACTCAGTGCACTCAATTTGATGGGCTTATGTCTGTTAAATTGTCTGTCCTGAATGGTGTGCCCCAGGGCTCTGTACTTGGTCCTCTCTTATTCACTATTTATATTAATGATTTAGACAAAAATGTCCAAAATGCACAACTTCATTTTTATGCTGATGATACTGTTATTTACTGTTGTGCCTCATCTCTTACAAAAGCTTTCCAGAACTTGCAAACTGCTTTTTATACTGTTCAACATACCTTGTGTCAATTGAAGCTTATCCTCAATACTGACAAAACTAAACTAATGGTGTTTTCTAATGCAAGAAATAGACCTCTGAACCTTTCACCTGTTACTACCTGTCAGGGCAAGGAGATTGAGGTTGTAACCTCATATAAATATCTTGGAATTCTAATTGATGACGGCCTCTCTTTTAAATTGCATATTCAACAACTTACAAAAAAATTGAAGCTGAAATTGGGATTTTATTTTAGGAATAAGGCCTGTTTTTCTTTTGAAGCCATAAGGAGGCTAGTATCAGCTACATTTATGCCTTTACTAGACTATGGGGATATTTTATATATGAATGCTTCCGCTCAGTGTTTGAGATCAATTGACACTCTTTATCATGGTACTTTGAGATTTATTTTAAACTGCAAAACCCTTACGCACCACTGTACTTTGTATACCAGGGTTGGCTGGCCTTCTCTAGTCACTCGTAGGCTCAGTCACTGGTATACTTTTATTTACAAAGCCATTTTGGGTTTACTACCTTTTTATTTGGGCATTTTTATTGTTCAGAAATGTGGTGGGTACTCTCTTCGTTCACTGGACTTTATCCTGCTAACTGTTCCAAATGTCCGAACTGAATTTGGTAAAAGGTCTTTTATGTACTCTGCGCCATCGTCTTGGAACACCTTACAAAATAATTTTAAACTGGAAGAACTTGTCCCGATTGGTGTTTTTAAATCTCTGATGAAGGATTTTGAGGCTGATTCCCTGACCTGTCAATGTCTTTAATTTGCTGTTTTTGATATTGTTATACTCTTGTGAATTCATGAATGGTTTTTACTAGATTACTTGTAGTTTTTCATGTTGTCTGTCTGTAATTTTTTGTAATGACTTGGTGCTGCCTATCTTGGCCAGGACGCTCTTGAAAAATAGATTTTAAATCTCAATGAGCCCTTCCTGGTTAAATAAAGGTTAAATAAATAAAAATAAATAAATTCAGACCCCTTGACTTTTTCCACATTTTGTTACATTACAGCTTTATTCTAAAATGTATTAAATAAATAAAAATGGTCATCAATCTACACACAATACCCCTTAATCACAAAGTCTAAACAGTTTTTCTTTAAATTTTAGCAAATGTACTAAAAATAAAAAACATAAATACCTTATTTACATAAGTATTCAGACCCTTTACTATGAGACTCGAAATTGAGCTCAGGTGCATCCTGTTTCCATTGATCATCCTTGAGATGTTTCTAGAACTTGATTGGAGTCCAACTGTGGTAAATACAATTGATTGGAGATTATTTGGAAAGGCACATACTTGTCTATATAAGGTCCCACAGTTGACAGTGTGTGTCAAAGCAAAAACTAAGCCATGAAGGTCGAAGGAATTGTCTGTAGAGCTCCAAGACAGGATTGTGTCGAGGCACAGACCTGGGGAAGGGTAACAAAAAATGTCTGCAGTATTGAAGGTCCCAAAGACCACAGTGGCCTCCATCATTCTTAAATGGAAGAAGTTTGGAACCACCAAGACTCTTCCAAGAGCTGGCCGCCCGGCCAAACTGAGCAATCGAGGGAGAAGGGCCTTGGTCAGAGAGGTGACCAATAACTCTATAGGAGAACATTCCAGAAGGACAACCATCTCTGCAGCACTCCAACAATCAGGCATTTATGGTAGAGTTGCCAGACGAAAGGCACTCCTCACTAAAACGCACATGACAGCCCTCTTGGAGTTTGCCAAAAGGCACCAAAAGACTCTCAGACCATGAGAAACAAGATTCTCTGGTCTGATGAAACCACGATTGAACTCTTTGGCCTGAATGCCAAGCGTCACGTCTGGAGGAAACCTGGCACCATCACTACGGGGAAGCATGGTGGTGGCAGCATCATGCTGTGGGGATGTTTTTCAGCGGCAGGGACTGGGAGACTAGTCAGGATAGAGGGAAAGATGAACGAAACAAAGTACAGAGAGGTCTTTGATGAAAACCTGCTCCAGAGCGCTCAGGACCTCAGACTGGGTTGAAGGTTCACCTTCCAACAGCACAATGACCTTAAGCACACAGCCAAGACAACACAGGAGTGGCTTCAGGACAAGTCTCTGAATGTTCTTGAGTGGCCCAGCCAGAGCCTGGACTTGAACCCGATCAAACATCTCTGGAGAGACCTGAAAATAGCTGTGCAGCGACGCTCCCCATCCAACCTGACAGAGCTTGAGAGGATCTGCAGAGACGAATGGGAGAAACTCCCCAAATACAGGTGTGCCAAGCTTGTAGCGTCATACCCAATAAGACTTGAGGTTGTAATCGATGCCAAAGGTGCTTCAACAAAGTACTGAGTAAAGGGTCTGCAAAAATGTATAAAAACCTGTTTTTGAATTGTCATTATGAGGTATTGTGTGTAGATTGATAAGGGGAAAAAAACAATTTAATCAATTTTAGAATAAGGCTGTAATGTAACAAAATGTGGAAAAAGTCAAGGGGTCTGAATACTTTCTGAATGCACTGTATGTTGAGAGCTTACTGCTTTGAGTTTGAGACAGACTGGGATGAAGGGGTCTTGTGCTGTTTGCAGCGCGGGAGGTTGTTCAGGAATCTCTCGGTTTTAGTCCGAATGAACTTGTGTTTGGACATTATGTCAGAGGTCCTTTGAGTTTGCTGAGAGAGATGTTGTTGAAGGGTGACACTTTAAAAACAAAAACAAATCTGTTGGAGCACATTAGTGCTTTTCGATACAGATTATGCCGCGCTTGTGAATTTGCCTTTGTTGTCCTGGTTTTGTTGACGGTTCTGGGGTCACCGTTGCAGGCTCGATTTCAGGCCCTTACCCCATAGTGAAAAAAATTGGTAATCTGGATTACATCATCGCCGGAGAAAAACCCGGCTGTGTCATGTCAACATGTTGAAACCATACTTCATCCGCTACGATTGGGCGGCGAAGTCGGTGAAAACCGGTAATGATGTTCTGCCTGTGGCCACTGCTGTCACAGTTTACTATAGTCTTCCTCAAGAGTACGACGAAAGCCCAATAAACCCTGTGCCGGTTGGAAGGTTGAGTAACTCAGAGATTCTAGAAAACCTTGATATCTTTCTGGCACACTTGTCTCCGGAGGAAAAAGGCAACATTTTTGAATATCAGGGTTTATTCTCAGATGTGCCAATCCAGACAATTGTACTAGAACATGACATTGACGTTGGGGACTCGGCCCCGATCAAACAACATTCCTATCGAGTGAACCCTGAAAAGAGAGAGAAGCTCCGCAGGGAGGTAGAGTTCATACTTGAGCACGCATTGCACAACATGGCAACAGTTTGTGGAGTTCGCTCGGAATATTAGTACCTAAGGCGGATGTGTCTCTGTGGTTTTGTTCTGATTTTCAGAAACTCAATACCGTAACTAAATCAGACTCATACCCTTTGCCCAGGGTCGACCATTGTGTTGACCGTGTTGGAGCTGCTAATTACGTTAGCAAGTTCGATCTGCTGAAGGGATATTGGCAGGTCCCTCTAACTGAGAGTGCCAAAGAGTTGCCTGCTTTTGTCACTCCTGATGGTTTGTTTTCCTACCTTCGTCTCCCGTTCGGGATCCGAAATGCCGGAGCCACGTTTCAAAGGCTCATGCACATCGTGCTACGTGGCCTAGAAAATGCTGAGGCATATTTAGATGTGGTCGTATTTAGCACAACCTGCCCCAACACCTTCAGGATATTAGGAGTCTGTTCTGGCGTTTCACAGCTGCCAACCTGACAGTTAACCTGTCTAAGAGCGAAATTGCCAGAACAACAGTCAAATATCTCAGGAAGGTGGTGGGGCAAGGGGATGTTCGACCAGTCCTGGCAAAAGTGGAGGCCATCAATAGCCTTCCAGTGCCAGCTTCTCGCCAGGAACTGCACCGATTCTTGGGAATGGCCGGTTACTACCGGGCTTTTTGCGCCACTCACAGATTTGACCAGTCTGAAAGTCGTTTTCTGTTGGAGCCCCGACTGTCAGGAGGCTTTTGAGAAGACAAAGAACCTTTTAGTCTCTGCACCGGTGTTAGCTGCTCCGGATTTTGATCATCCATTTGCTTTGTATATCGATGCCAGTGACGTAGAAGCAGGGGCTGTGCTCCTACAGAAAGACAATAACAACGTCAAGCACCCTGTGGGGTACTTTTCAAGAAATTGGCCTCATATAAAAAACACTACTCGACTACTGAGATGGGGACACTCGCTTTGGTACTGGCTCTTCAGCACCTCTGGTGGTCTATACCGATCATAACTCTAATTTTCCTGTAAAAGACGAGCTCCACGAATCGCAGACTCCTTCGCTGGAGTCTTATATTGCAGGAGTTTCCCCTTGAAATCAGACATGTCTGTGGTAAGGACAATTTGGTCGCTTATTGTCTTTCAAGGGTGGGCAGTCAATAAGTTTTGTGTTTTGCGTTTAGCCAGTGTGTTGCCCTGGCTCACAGTTTCTTTTGAGTGCACGTTTTGCTGTTTTGGAGATGAGTATTGTTTTGGTTGGGCTCGTTCCAAGGGGATGAGTGTCACGTTCGTTGAATGACGGGTCAGACCAAGGCACAGCGTGATATACGTACATGTTTATTAACTTATAAACCCACGACAAAATAACAAACCAAAACGAAACGTGAAGTCCAAGGTAGAACACACAACATACCTTACAAGGAACAAGATCCCACAACTACACAGTGCCAATAGGCTGCCTAAGTATGATCCCCAATCAGAGACAACTAGCGACAGCTGCCTCTGATTGGGAACCACACCGGCCAACATAGATCTATACATACTAGAATACAACATAGAAAAAGCACAACAAGGAATATACACACCCTGACTCAACATATAAGCATCCCCTGAGTCAGGGCGTGACAATGAGAGTTATAGAAGTGTACATAAGTTTTTCTAAAACTTGTGAGTTTTAGGCAACTATAGAAAGAAAAAGAAAAAAAGATTTAACAAATAATAAAAAGATTGTAAAAACATATAAATATATACAGTATATATTTAAAAGGAAAATAAAATGTGTGTTGTGTCTTATATTTAATTGTTGACAGCCAGTAAATGCCATGTTTACATTGGAGAAGGCAACGCATACGTAGCAATGCATTTAAGTTGATCATGTTGAGAAATGGAAGTTGTTTTCTGTTGGTGGTGAGCAAACTTGTCCAACAAAAATATAGGATATATTTGTTGTCTTAAGGGGGAAAGTGTTACAGGCTTTGGTTTTTCCATTTATGTTTTGAGGTTGCACTTTAGCACGTATAGCTCATTAGCACGTAGGACGCACCGATTGGTGTCACCTCATTAGTCAGTATGTGTTACACCTGTGCTGGTTGCCGTCTCGTTAGAGGGAAGGTGTTTTACCTGTGCTGACTCAGGTGCTATCTAAGATTGGCTGGCCCAGTGCTTCCGTTGTCTTGATAGATGCGGATGGTTAACACCTTTAGTTGGCGCTCCCTATTTAGATTTTTAGACAAACAATCCTTTATCTGATTTCCCTGATTTTGTTTTGCTCCACCCTTTTGGTTTACTTCCTGTCTTTAAGTTTGGTCTGGGTTTTTCTTTTGTTTGTCTCTTCTCTGGCAAATTTAGTGGGTGCTCATGGTGGGTGTCTTTTAGGTTCTAGTTTTTGTTGCTAGTCAACTTTCAGTGGACACCCCCATGAGTGTCTTTCAGAACCCCTCCTAAAACTCCACCTGTTTCGTTTTGGTTGTTGGTCAGTGACTATTTGTTAGTTCCCTCTTCTGTTTAAGCGACATTTTTGGTTTTCTTGCTTTTATTTTATTTTTATTTAACCTTTATTTAACTTGCTGGGGAACGTAACAATTTTACAAAGTAATGAAATACACTTGTATTAAGAATTCTATCCTCAGACATTTCTTGATGACCTATTACTGTAACTCAACTATAGTGTTCTTGCATATTGCTAAATCATCTTTATGGAGTCAGATAAACATTTTAATAGGCTAATTGCTTAGTCTTATTACTAGTCACAGGTGAGTTATTTATAATATCATATTTACTGTACAGTGGGGAAAAAAAGTATTTAGTCAGCCACCAATTGTGCAAGTTCTCCCACTTAAAAAGATGAGAGAGGCCTGTAATTTTCATCATAGGTACACGTCAACTATGACAGACAAATTGAGATTTTTTTTCCAGAAAATCCCATTGTAGGATTTTTTATGAAGTTATTAGCAAATTATGGTGGAAAATAAGTATTTGGTCACCTACAAACAAGCAAGATTTCTGGCTCTCACAGACCTGTAACTTCTTCTTTAAGAGGCTCCTCTGTACTCCACTCGTTACCTGTATTAATGGCACCTGTTTGAACTTGTTATCAGTATAAAAGACACCTGTCCACAACCTCAAACAGTCACACTCCAAACTCCACTATGGCCAAGACCAAACAGCTGTCAAAGGACACCAGAAACAAAATTGTAGACCTGCACCAGGCTGGGAAGACTGAATCTGCAATAGGTAAGCAGCTTGGTTTGAAGAAATCAACTGTGGGAGCAATTATTAGGAAATGGAAGACATACAAGACCACTGATAATCTCCCTCGATCTGGGGCTCCACGCAAGATCTCACCCCGTGGGGTCAAAATGATCACAAGAATGGTGAGCAAAAATCCCAGAACCACACGGGGGGACCTAGTGAATGACCTGCAGAGAGCTGGGACCAAAGTAACAAAGCCTACCATCAGTAACACACTACGCCGCCAGGGACTCAAATCCTGCAGTGCCAGACGTGTCCCCCTGCTTAAGCCAGTACATGTCCAGGCCCGTCTGAAGTTTGCTAGAGTGCATTTGGATGATCCAGAAGAGGATTGGGAGAATGTCATATGGTCAGATGAAACCAAAATAGAACTTTTTGGTAAAAACTCAACTCGTCGTGTTTGGAGGACAAAGAATGCTGAGTTGCATCCAAAGAATACCATACCTACTGTGAAGCATGGGGGTGGAAGCATCATGCTTTGGGGCTGTTTTTCTGCAAAGGGACCAGGACGACTGATCCGTGTAAAGGAAAGAATGAATGGGGCCATGTATCGTGAGATTTTGAGTGAAAACCTCCTTCCATCAGCAAGGGCATTGAAGATGAAACGTGGCTGGGTCTTTCAGCATGACAATGATCCCAAACACACCGCCCGGGCAACGAAGGAGTGGCTTCGTAAGAAGCATTTCAAGGTCCTGGAGTGGCCTAGCCAGTCTCCAGATCTCAACCCCATAGAAAATCTTTGGAGGGAGTTGAAAGTCCGTGTTGCCCAGCGACAGCCCCAAAACATCACTGCTCTAGAGGAGATCTGCATGGAGGAATGGGCCAAAATACCAGCAACAGTGTGTGAAAACCTTGTGAAGACTTACAGAAAACGTTTGACCTGTGTCATTGCCAACAAAGGGTATATAACAAAGTATTGAGAAACTTTTGTTATTGACCAAATACTTATTTTCCACCATAATTTGCAAATAAATTCATTAAAAATCCTACAATGTGATTTTCTGGACTTTTTTTCTCATTTTGTCAGTCATAGTTGACGTGTACCTATGATGAAAATTACAGGCCTCTCTCATCTTTTTAAGTGGGAGAACTTGCACAATTGGTGGCTGACCAAATACTTTTTTCCCGCACTGTATATACACGTCAAATATATTACTGCCCACTAAAGCAACAAATACATTTCCAATTCACACATGCGTGTTAATACACTCTTGCAAATATATGCACCCACCTAATTATTATTATTAAAAGGAGGAATGAGAATCTCGTTTGTTCAGTGACAGCAACGAAGTTAGCACGTCTAATTTAGAGAACAAAAACGTGAACAGATTGATAGAACATCTGGATTGAGATGAACTCTGTTGGATAGCCGATCTCCTCAAACTTTAGTCCGATCTAGCTGGTCCAGAGACAGCTACAGCAGCGTCTTGTATTAATTCTGAATCACTTGAAGGACCATTAGGGAAATTCATGATCTGAGACGTACCCTGTTAAATGGTTCTCTGTCCCGATGACCTGTTCTCTCTGCTCTAAACAGCTTCCAGAGAATCTCTCTCCTAGCATGGCTGCAAACCATTACTACTGGCAGCAAATGGGGGGACACAAGCACGCACAAGCATGTACAGCACAAACACGCTTGCATACACGCTCGCACACACGAACGCACGCACACACAATAGGGCGGAACACATTGTTCTTTGATTGTTTTAATGTGCTTTGGGGGGGTCTTCTCTTTTACAATAGAGAAGAATTGGGTATTTTCTACCAACTCAGAGACTGTAACTATAGATTGGAAATAGTGTTAGTAGCAATTATGACTTAATTGTGAGCACGACAGACAGACAGACAGGTTCTTATGGCCTTTCTTTCTCACTGAGGGAAGTTACTGTTCTAGAGCTGAGAGTTGAGATCCATAAAACTGAACTGGGAACTGTGTCCTTACAGAGGTAGGACTATGGAGGGACAAGGCAGGGGGGCAGCGGGGGATGGGAAGAGGCACATTTAACGGAGGTGATTTGGTGAAGCATACTTACATAATGAATTACCTTGCCTGAGACCTTGTGTCAACACTTCCCTTTCTCTCACCTTGAGTACTTTAGTGATCTGTTCGGTCAGGGTGTCCAGCAGGCGCGTCTTCAGAAAGTCCTCTACTTTGGTCACTCTGCCATCCATGTAGTAGCTACAGACAGAACAACAACACACACAGACACTTCAGAACAGAATACAAGCAACTTCTGATAAATGGACACAGCAAATTCTCCAGTGTTAAAAAAAAACTAAATCAACACTGGAAGTGTTGAGTCTGTGGACCCATATAGACACCGGAACAGTGTTAAATTAACACACTACTTAGTGTAAAGCCTTTCCAGAGTGCCTTGCCTTTCGAGTAAATTATAGAATTACCACCCATGACTGAATTTGTTAGTAACTAGAAATGGTTGTTACATTCATCCATTTTCGGTCCTATGGACTAAGCGAATATGTTATCATAAAAAATAAAATAATTTATTTAGCACAATATCATACGTATTTCATAAGGGCATTTTTTGAGGGCCTAGTTTTACCCTAAGACTGGCATGATATTCATACACATCAATCATGGGTGGTAACGCTACAATTTGCTCGAAAGGCAAGGCACTCTGGGAAATCTTTGAATATAGCTTTACACTAAGCAGTGTGTTAATTTAACACTGTTCCGGTGTCTATACAGGTCCACAGACTCAACACTTTCAGTGTTGATTTAAAACTCTCAGTGTTGTTGTTTTTTTAACACTAAAATCTTTAACTGGTTATAATCTGGTTATCTGACGCCAAACGCCTGATTGCATGCCAAATGCTCTCACTACACGTTACACTTAAACAGAGTATAATTCTCATGAGAAAAAAGGCTGCGTCTATGGTACACACAAACTGAAACTCTTGCAAACGCTTTATAATACAGTCCAGTAATAAACCATTTAGAAATAGTTTGTTCACCAATTAATAATCATTATTTAATATGAACATACATTTACATTTGTAAACGTTAGTAATATATATATATATATATATATATTGATTGCATTTTTATATAGCGCCTTTTAAGGTGCTCAAAGCACTGTAAGGTATGGGAAATTCACCTCATCCACCACCAATATGTAGCACCCATTTGGGTGATGCACGGCAACCATTTGTGCTCACCACACATCAGCTATCAGGTGGCGAGGTGAGGAGTGATATATGCCAATTAGGAATGAGGGGGATGATTCGGTGGCCATGACGGAAATGGGGACAGGTTGGGAATTTAGCCAGGACATCGGGGTTAACACCCCTACTCTTACAATAAGTGCCATGGGATTTTTAGTGACCACAGAGTCAGGACACCTGTTTAACATCCCATCCGAAAGATGGCACCCTATGTAGGACATTGGGATTTGATCTTAAGACCAGAGGGAAGAAAGTCGCTTTGGATAAAAGCGTCTGCTAAATGGCATATTATTATTATTATTGTTCCATACTGGCTCTCCAACACTACAGTATACAGTATACAGTGGGTATAGAAAGTCACCAACCCCTTTCAAAATGTTCACCTTTTGTTTCCTTACAGCCTGAAATGAAAACACATAAAATCAGACTTTTTCTGTCTTTATTTACACACAGTAACCCACAATATCCAAGAGGAGAACATTTTTCTAAAAAACTCTGAACATTAATTAAAATGAAAACAGTAAAATACCCTATTTGGATAAGTGAACACCCCCCTGAGTTAATACTTGATGGAACCACCTTTTGCTTGAATTACAGCCATGGGTCTCTTTGAATACATCTCTACTAACTTTGCACACCTAGACTGTGCAATATTTGCCCATTCTTCCTTGCAGAATTGTTCAAGCTCAGTCAAATTGCATGGTGACCGCTCATGGACTGCACTCTTCAAGTCATTCCATAGATTCTCGATGGGATTTAGGTCGGGGCTCTGACTAGGACACTCAAGGAAATTCACCTTCTTGTCCTTCAGCCACTGTATGGTTGCTTTGGCGGTGTGCTTTGGGTCATTGTCATGTTGAAATGTGAACCATCTTCCCATTTTCAACTTCCTGGCAGAGGGCTGCAGGTTCTCCTCAAGAATCTGTCAGTATATCGCACTGTCCATTTTCCCTTCTATCCTGAAGTGCTCCAGTCCCAGCTGAAGAGAAACACCCCCACAACAGGATGCTGCCACCGCTGTGCTTTACTGTAGGCATGGTGTTCTTTGGGTGGAAAGATGTATTGGGTTTTCGCCAGACATATCGTTTTGCATTCAGGCCAAAAAGTAACATTTTGGTCTCATCTGACCACAGCAACATTTGCCACTTGGCCTCCGAATCTACAATGTGCATTTTGGCAAAGCTCAAATGAGACTTGATGTTTTTTTAGGAGTGTTTTTTTCTTCTTGCCACCCTCCCATAGAGGCTAGATTTGTGGAGCGCTTGTGATATTGTGGTCACATGCACACATTGACCAGTCTTTGCCATAAAGGCCTGAAGCTCCTTCAAAGTCGCCATTGGCTTCTTGGTGGCCTCTCTGATCAGTCTCCTCCTTGCCCGGTCATCCAGTTTGGAGGGACGGCCTGATCTATGCAGGATCTGGGTGTTGCCATACGCCTTCCACTTCTTAATAATGGCTTTAACTGTGCTCCGAGGGATAGACAAAGCCTTTGAAATCGTTTTATATCCATCCCCTGACTTGCGCCTTTCCACACTTTATCTCGTAGATCTTTTAATTATTATTAAAGTATTTTTTGCAGTACCTGATCTAAAGCAATCACTATTTACAATTGATAAATTCCATCAACGGTGTATGGGTTTCCCATTGAATTCAGACTGGTTGGGTAGGTTTAGGCTATTATCAATAACGTTATGTCACCCTGTTTTGGGGAATTGACATAGTGGGTTTTGTCACATTTGGCAATGCAACCGATAACACTTTACTTAAAGGGAGTATACAAAAGCCATTCACAACACCGTTATGAAACCAGTCATAACACCTTCATGAGTATTGCATTACCATTTATAAAAACCTTAGTAACACATTTATTCAATATAATTTATAAGGAGTTACATTTCAATTTTCATCAGTAACACAGAAATAGATCTTTATATAAACATTTATTTAGACATTTATATTTTCATAGCCACAGTACCCAACCCCCAAAGTATTATTGTAGGAACACATATTTTTGGCTTAAGTTCGCAGAGAACATGCTGTAGGCCTAACATGACATTTACGATTGGTGCTCAAGGCCAAGGATTCACTGTAGGCCAGGTACTCTGTTTGCTTCAGATCCACCTTCTTACTGTATGTTCTGTACTTACTAATGGATACTGGGTCAAATTGACACAGAACATCAACTGTGGATAGGCTTTTTGAACATAATAGGAGGGTTAAGATAATATTGATAATTGCAAGGGCTGTTTACCCAGTGGCATCCTGCAGCATTGAAAGATCATGAGAGAGGATACAAAACACTCTATGCACACAGTCACTAACTGTTCTGCTCCCAGCCTGTTACGTGAATAGTGTATTAGAGCATGGATGGGCACGGATATATTACAGCACGGATGGGCAACTTTGAAGGGGGCCACAAAGAAAATATTGCTACACATTTTGCCATGGGGCGGGGGGAAAATGAGCAGTTTTACAGCTAATTTCCTGCAATTCTACACATCTTGCCGTTGGGTGGAGAGAAATGTTTGCCGTTTTTAATATGATATCTGAGTGAGAGTGACTTACAAAATCAATGGGGGGCCCCGATTGGTAATTCGGCCATGATTAAAATGTTTAGCTGACATGGGCTAATTAAGTGACTCTCAGTGACTGGCATAACAAGGGAAAGACTACTGATGCATAACTAAATTGCACCTTGCGTATTCTACTATTCGAACAGTCAACAGTAAGTAAAAAAGAAAGTTAAAAAAAGAAACAGCCCTGCGGGCCTACAAAAGGGCCGTCAGTTTCCCATCCCTGTATTAGAGGGTTGGTACTGTGGCAGTAGAAATACACATTTTCACTCTACAATGGGTAAATAAATATCTATTTCAAGGGAATTTCATTTTGAATTAATATGTTATAAAGTTTGTTATGAATGATACTGCAGCACTCATAAAGGAGTTATGAATGCCTTACTGTATGTATACCCCCTTCAAGTAAAGTGTTACCATGCACCGTAAATAGAGTAAGTGATTTGTGAAGTATCTATTTTGTGCTAATGAAGACTTTATGTATTCTATACAAGCCTTTATAAATTGTTTGTTTAAAGTGGGACCTAATTGTAAGAAAACTATAAAATGCTTTACCATCAAGGGTTACCAAAACTGGTAAAGCTTTACCAAACTGGGTTATGATATAATTTATGTATGACCAACTTTGTCAGCCAAAAATACATAGTACACAGTAGTTTTGTAGGGAAGCTGTCTGCTGATCCGACTTCTCCTCTACCTATGGGAATAATTAAAGCGTGAACACATCTGTAGAGAACAGAATGTATCCTCTATTTGGAATTACATTCTTTACCCAGACAATGATGAATCACCTTTCCTCGCATCAGTCGCTTTCTCTTTATTTCTCTCTCTCTCTCTCACTCTCACTCTCTCACTCTCTCTCTCTCACTTGTTCTTCTCTTTCACTCTGGCAGTATCTATATACTGTACTACTCCTGCCTCTTCTCTCTCTCGCTCAATGTTGATCTCTTTCCTCTCTAGCTGTCTCGCTATGGTCTCTCTCTACTTCTCTCTCCTCTCCCACCTCTGTCTCCCCTCTACAATGGTTCTCTCTCTGACTTGTCAGTCTCAGAGCAGTAGAGCAGAGCAGGGATTATGTAGTGGAATGGTTGAGATGTAGATAAATACCAGAGTTTGTCTGAGACAAGTATTAAGATGTTTACTTGCTTTTGTCACGACTTCCGCCGAGGCTGCCCCCCCTCCTGGTTCGGGCAGGCTTCGGCGTTCGTCGTCACCGGAGTACTAGCTACTGCCGATCCCATTCTCATCACTCCACTTGTCATGTCTTGTCAATCACACACAATTGGTGCTCATTCCCCTAATTAGTATGTGTATAAGTGTTCCCTCTGTTCCCCTTCTTTGTGAGTGATTGTTTTGTTGTGAGAGCATGTAGCTCGGTTGAGCTACATTTCACTATGTTATTGCCAAGGTGGATGTTTTCCCTTGTATAGTTTCGTTTGACACTTGGGGCGTTTGATTTATGCAAACGGATTAAACTCTGGACTTCGGTATTTTACCTCCTGCACCTGACTCCTTCTTTCACACCTCGTCACAGAATCACTCACCTGATCTGATATGGAGTCAGCAGGAGAAGACCGCATGCCTGGAGTTGTGGCAAGGGTCCAGGAGCATTCCTCGATGTTGGCCAGCTTGGGGGAAGCAATGGATCGGGTTCTTCAGGTGGTAGAACGCCTGGAGAGGAGAGGATCCGATCTATCGAGACCAGCTGGTCAACCGGATGCAGCCACTTACACCCCAGCCCCTGGAGGGATCCAGATATCCCGGCCACCGGCATTTGATGGGACTGAAGCGCGATGTAAGGGATTCCTACTCCAACTGGAGTTGTATTTCTCCAGCATCAGACCGGAGCCCCGGGAGCGGGAGAAGGTATCCGTCCTCGTTTCCTCCCTTTGTGGGAGAGCCTTGGAGTGGGCCAACACGGTGTGGAACGAGGGAGGTACCACGTTGGAGAACTACGGGGAGTTTGCTCGCCTCTTTCGGGCCGTTTTTGATCACCCGCCTGAGGGTCGAGAGGCGGGCGAACGACTGGTTCATCTGAGGCAGGGGACGAGGACCACTCAGGACTACTCGCTTGAGTTCCGGACGCTGGCAGCGGGGTCCGGGTGGAACGAGCGGGCCCTGATAGACCATTTCCGGTGCCACCTTAGACGTCCGACGGGAGCTAGCGTGCCGGGATGCCATGCTATCGGTCTCCCAATTGGTGGACATGGCCATCCGGCTGGACAATCTGCTAGCAGCCAGAGGACGTCCTGGTAGGGGTCTACCCGTTCCCACTCCGGACGACTCTGACACCGAGCAGATGGAGCTGGGGTGAGCTGCCGGTCGAGAGAGCGCAGGAGGACAGCAACAGTGCCACTCTGGTGGCACGAAGGGACAATCCACCTCACGTCGCAGTCAACGTTCTTTTGGGTCTGGAGGCGGTAGGTAGGGTACTCACGCATCACCCCAGGTAACGAACACCCAAACGTGTTCAGAGCCCTTTGCGGCACACTGTACTTTATCTATCTCCTTTTCCGATCACTTGGTAGGTTCCCAGTGTAAGGCTCTAGTCGATTCAGGCGCAGCTGGGAATTTTATGGACAGGGCATTTGCACACCGTCAAGGCATTTCATTGGTTCCCCTAACCATTCCACTCCCCATCAGAGCACTAGATAGTCGACCATTAGGATCCGGGTTGGTTAAGGAGGTTACGGTACCAGTCACCATGATTACGCAGGAGACACATGTTGAGCAGATCACCTTTATGATTATTGAGTCTCCTGCTTACCCTGTAGTCTAGGGTATCCTGTGGTTAGCCCTTCACAACCCCAATTTCTCATGGCCGCAGAGGGTTCTTACGGGGTGGTCGCGTGAGTGTCCGGGTAGGTGTCTAGGTGTTTCCGTTGGTGCGACCACGGTGGAAAGTCCAGACGGTACCCCCACCGTGCGCATTCCCCCCGAATACCATGATCTGGCGCTCGCATTTTCCAAGATGCAAGCGACTAAATTACCACCTCATCGGGAGGGGGATTGCGCGATAAAACTTTGGGTAGACGCTGTACCTCCCAGGAGTCATGTGTATCCCCTGTCGCAGGCTGAAACGGAGGCTATGGAAAAATACGTCACTGAGTCCCTGCGCCAGGGGTATATACGTCCCTCCACTTCACCTGCCTCCTCGAGTTCCTTCTTTGTGAAGAAGAAAGATGGCGGTTTACGCCCGTGCATTGATTATCGACCACTGAATAATGTGACGGTACGATTTAGTTATCCTCTTCCCCTCATTCCTTCAGTGATTGAGTCAATGCATGGGGCCCATTTTTTCACCAAATTAGACCTCAGGAATGCCTACAACCTGGTGCGTATTTGGGAAGGGGATGAGTGGAAAACAGCATTCAGCACAACCTCAGGGCATTATGAATACCTGGTGATGCCCTACGGTTTGATGAATGCTCCATCTGTTTTCCAGTCCTTTGTGAATGAGACATGCTTGGTTGCGGTGTGGTGGTCTACATCGATGACATCCTGGTGTATTCCGCTACGCATGCTGAGGATGTGTCCCTGGTTCGCAAAGTACTGGTCCGACTGCTGGAAAATGATCTTTATGCCAAGGCAGAGAAGTGTGAGTTTTTCCAGCAGTCAATCTCCTTCCTCGGATATCGCATTACCACCACAGGTGTGGAGATGGAGGGAGACCGCATTGCAGCCGTGCGTAATTGGCCGACCAACCACGGTAAAGGAGGTGCAGCGCTTCCTTGGCTTTGCCAACTACTACCAAAGGTTTATTCGGGGCAACTTCCGCCGAGGCTGTCCCCCCTCCTGGTTCGGGCAGGCTTCGGCGTTCATCGTCACCGGAGTACTAGCTACTGCTGATCCCATTCTCATCACTCCACTTGTCATGTCTTGTCAATCACACACACCTGGTGATCATTCCCCTAATTAGTATGTGTATAAGTGTTCCCTCTGTTCCCCTTGTCTTTGTGAGTGATTGTATTGTTGTGAGAGCGTGTAGCTCGATTGAGCTACATTTCACTGTGTTATTGCCAAGGTGGATGTTTTCCCTTGTACAGTTTCGTTTGACGCTTGGGGCGTTTGATTTATGCAAACGGATTAAAGAGATTCTTCAAAAAGCCACCCTTTGCCTTGATGACATCTTTGCACACTCTTGGCATTCTCTCAACCAGCTTCATGAGGCAGTCAACTGGAATGCATTTAAATTAACAGGTGTGCCTTCTTAAAAGTTAATTTGTGGAATTTATTTCCTTCTTAATGCGTTTGAGCCAATCAGTTGTGTTGTGACAAGGTGTGTGTGTGTGTGTGTGGGGGGGGGGGGGGGGGGGGGGGGGGGGTATACAGAAGATAGCCCTATTTGGTAAAAGACCAAGTCCATATTATGGCAAGAACAGCTCAAATAAGCAAAGAGAAACGACAGTCCATCATTACTTTAAGACATGAAGGTCAGTCAATGCGGAACATTTCAAGAACTTTTAAAGTTTCTTCAAGTGCAGTCGCAAAAACCATCAAGCGCTATGATGAAACTGGCTCTCATGAGGACCGCCACAGGAATGGAAGACCCAGAGTTACCTCTGCTGCAGAGGATAAGTTCATTAGAGTTACCAGCCTCAGAAATTGCAGCTCAAATAAATACGTCACAGAGTTCAAGTAACAGACACATCTCAACATCAACTGTTCTTAGGGGACTGTGTAAATCAGGCCTTCATGGTCGAATTGCTGCAAAGAAACCACTACTAAAGGACACCAATAAGAAGAAGAGACCTGCTTGGGCAAAGAAACATGAGCAATGGACATTAGACCGATGGAAATTTGTCCTTTGTTCTGGAGTCCAAATTGGAGATTTTTGGTTCAAACCGCTGTGTCTTTGTGAAATGCGGTGTGGGTGAACGGATGATCTCCGCATGTGTAGTTCCCACCGTAAAGCGTGGAGGAGGAGGTGTTATGGTGTTGGGGTGCTTTGCTGGTGACACTGTCTGTGATATATTTAGAATTCAAGGCACACTTAACCAGCATGGCTACCACAGCATTCTGCAGCGATACGTCATCCCATCTGGTTTGGGCTTAGTGGGACTATCATTTGTTTTTCAACAGGACAATGACCCAACACACCTCCAGGCTGTGTAAGGGTTATTTTACCAAGAAGGAGAGGGATGGAGTTCTGAATCAGATTACCTGGCCTCCACAATCCCCCGACCTCAACCCAATTTAGATGGTTTGGGATGCGTCAGACAGCATAGTGAAGGAAAAGCAGCCAACAAGTGCTCAGCATATGTGGGAACTCCTTCAAGACTGTTGGAAAAGCATTCCAGGTGAAGCTGTTTGAGAGAATGCCAAGAGTGTGCAAAGCTGTCATCAAGGCAAAGGGTGGCTATTTGAAGAATCTCAAATATAAAATATATTTGTTTAACACTTTTCTGGTTACTACATGATTCCATATGTGTTATTTCATAGTTTTGATGTCTTCACTATTATTCTACAATGTAAACACTTTTAAAAAATTAAGAAAATCCCTTGAATGAGTAGGTGTGTCCAAACTTTTGACTGGTACTGCATGTTTCCCATGCCAATAAAGCCCTTAAATTGAATTGAATTGAAAGTGACAAGAATCGGAGGAAGGCAGGGAGGGAACAGAGAGAGAGAAAAGGAGGCAAGTGAGAGAGAGAAAGAAGGAGAGAGGGAGAGAGAAAGAAAGAGAGAGAGAGAGAAAGAAGGAGAGAGAGAGAGAAAGAAGGTGAGAGAGAGAAAGAAGGAGAGAGAGAGAAAGGGAGACAAGAGACAAAGGGTGCGGTCGTGTGTGTGTGTGTGTGTGTGTGTGTGTGTGTGTTTGTGTGTGTGTGTGTTTGTGTGTGTGTGTGTTTGTGAGGGTCTAAGCTCCACCACTGAATAACATGTGGCCCTCCAGGGGAATGGGCCCTCAGGATTTACGAGTCCGGCGGGACAGTGACTAAAGTGTGGAGAGCAACACAAATCTCTGTTACCCTCCTGCAGTCTTTGCTCTTTCTTTCCTCCCACTGCTCTCTCTATTTTCTCTGCTTTCTCCATATACTGTAGCTGTAAATAACCTCAGTCCCCTTGCTGAGTGTTCAGTCTTCTGACTACATGGTCTCTATGTCTCTATTCATGGAGCAATACTCCCGCTAAGCCAAAACGTAAGGTTACTTGCGTAACCCCCGGTTCTCTGATATTATGAGTGAGATATCTCACATGAGGGGGATTCACCAGAATCTCAGAAGCTTGAAGAACCAATCACACACGTCTGTCGGAAACAGACAAGTCGAGTGGCGAATAAGGTGAGCCCCTCCCCTCATCATAAAGAGCCACCACTCACCCGCCCTCTGATCATTCTCGATCATGCCGAACTTCCTCAAGCTCTTGCGAGTAGGGAATATTGTAGTGCTATTTGGGTTGTTAGTTGGATTCTTTCCGCCATTTCAAGATTTCTTGATTTTTATTATTATTTGTGTACTTGTTTGACATTTTACTGCATTGTTAGGAGCTGGTAACATAAGCATTATCACTGCACCCGCTATAACATCTGCTAAACTGTGTACACGACCAATAAACTTGTATTTTATTTTATTTGAATGCGGTGAGACATCTCACTCATAATATCAGAGAACTGAGGCTACGCAAATAACCTTAAATTCTCTTTCAGTTATTAGTTTCGATATCTCACATGAGGGATATGGCCAACTCCCGTATCGCAGCATGCTCTCCGTAGCCAGGTAGTCTCAACGTATCAACCCTCAGAGGCCCCGACACTGAGGACAGTATGTACCAAAGAATATGCAGTGACGTCTAGCCGGTAGAACTTCATAAAAGCCCTCAGGCCTTCCGGAGGCTGTAACCCCTTGCTATTATAGGCCAATATAATAGCTTCCACAATCCGTGATAACCGTTGATGAGAGAGGGGCCTCTCACAAAGGACATAAAAAGTTGGTCTCTCTCGTGCAAAGCTTTCGTTCTATCCAAGTATATGCACAATGCGTGTACTGGATACAAACTGTGGAACCGCTGGGGGGGGAGTGAATGTTGAACTGACATTGCATGCAGCTAACTGACTCACTTTGCGGACGTAAGGGCGACCAGTAAAGCTGTCTTAAAGGAGAGACTGTTAAGGTCTATCAAACTGCTATCTCGGCTGTCTTAAATGAGAGATATTTCATCTCCACGCTTTCCAGCGGCACAAAAGTGCTGTGAAATAAGACACAGATCTCATCCCAAAGGTCTGTTTTAGGCTTGCCGATAGCTAGGAGATTATGCATCTCTAGCATCAAATCGACCTGGTAAGCCAGCAGTAGGGACATAACGTTCAATACCCGTACAGAATGTGTGGCAAATACGAAGACCTTTTGGTAGATGGATGCAGAAAGGCGGTCCGTCTTAATAGGGAGAGAAGTGCCTGTCAGCGACGAGGCACTGGGGTTGAGGTGGTCGTCCAGTGATGGCTCACCCACAAGTGGCTTGCCGAGGCCCAGCTTCTTTATGTCCTTGACATTCATGTTGACAAAAAGTCGTCTGGTTTGGATTATTGCCAGTCAAGGGTTTGTCCTAATTGTGTTTGGCTTCCTCCACGCAAACTGGGATAGCAGAGAGGAATTGCTTGCCTGAGATGGTGCGAGAGGGGAGTTTCCTCCGCTCGTACCAGTCCCTCTGTGCTGCCACCCCCAATGGGTTTGGTTCACTCAATGCTGAGTCTGGCCGCTGCCTGTTTGCAGACATCGATGAGCGAATATCTGCCATCCACCATCGATGCCCTGCTTAGGGCAGAAGAAGGCCTAGAGGTAACGGTTGTGCTTCCTCGTCCTCTACCTCCTCCTGGAGGTAGGTCGTGCCCTTGCCATCGTCCTCATCGCCTACTCCGGGGGCCAAGCCCTGGAAATGTGGGTGAAGGTCCTCGCGGTAGCCATCCAAGACGTTGGCTCATGAAGGCTGGGTCTGTGGAGTAGTCTTGCGGCGAGCTAGCCAGTTTAACTAAGCCTTGCAGCTAAGCTAGCCAAGCCATATGACGCTAGCTACAACAGGAGACAAAGGGAAGAAAATGAGTAAAACAAATTGTTACCCGAAGCAAAAACTTTTTTTCCCCGGTAAAGTCACCCAACACAGAAGACGAGAGCAGAAAAACCTGTGCTCGGCGGCATTACCTCGCAGCACACCTGCGAACAGTTGAACAGGAAAACAGATCAAGTCATGCTGAGGAGAGCTTAGAGAAGTACTCTTTGTGAGGAAGAGAGGTGAGATTGATCAGAGGGTGAACGAGTGTCTCTTTATGATGAGGGGAGGTGCTCACCTCATTCGCGGATCGACCTGTCTGTCTCCGACAGACGTGTGTGTGTGTGGTTGGTTCTTTGAGTTTCTGAGATTCTGGGGAATCACCCTCGTGAGATATCGAAACAAATAATCGAAAGAGAACAAAACCACACTATGAGGATGAAGTCAACAGTAGGGAAGTGACAGGGGAAGTTCTGGAAGTACTGGAGAAAGAGAACATCGAAAATATGTACTGTAGGGAGGTGTAAGTTAGCGTAAGCTTGGGAAGGTATATCTGTTATACGTGTGTGTGTGTGTGTTTGCATGTGTTTACATACATGTCTGTGTGTAAGAGGTGTGAACAATTAATGCTACACTAATCATCCCTAACCTTCTTACCTGAGCTCCCCACAGAGCTAGACCGAGGGAGACTACAGGCATGGTGAACTGTCTGGTCACAGATACACTTTAACATGTGTAACACGTGTTTTGTGTTCCTAACATGTAACATGCTGTTACATGCCAAATCACTCGATTATGTAAACTGTATAAATAAACCAAGTTGTTCAACACAAATCTAATATGTACCATCTATAGGAAGGACTGCTGGATGGATTGGTGCAACTTTCTCTCTATAGAAAAACACAAGACCGGATCATTCACGTAACATGTCTTCAGGTCTTAGGCAAGGTTAGTCATCACGCAAGCGTATTTCGCTGTTGTTCAAAGTGGCACCTTTTCAGAGCTTTTATTGCTTAAAAGTTGGTTTATAGAGGTCAGCCTATCTGTCACGCAGTCTGGCTGGCATGGAACCTAGTCCTGTAGTGTAAAGAGGGTAATTGGCAGGACGTGTGTGTGTGTGTGTGTGTGTAAGCATATGGTTTGACTTTACCAGTGTGGGTGGTGTTGTGCTAAACCTTCCTCTTCCCAATCCCTTAATTAGCCTGACCTTGGCCTTAACAAGGCCCTGCTCTAGCAGTGTGGTGTGTGTGTCTGCGTGTGCGTTTGTACGTGTTTGCGTGCGTGCTTGTGTGCGCGTGTGTGTTAATGAGACAAATATGTGAATACCTTGGCACGAAACAGTGATATTCCCTTATTTTGAAACTACTGCAGACTATTGCACTTCATTCTGACAGCGATGCCATTTTTTTTCTCTCTCAGAATGTCAACCACAGCCTGCCTGTAAACAATGACCATTACAAACCACAACAACAGGCAGACATGTCTTTAGCCGCTCAGTCACTTCAAGAACGACACCACAAGACAGAATGGGCAGGAAAGCAGAGGAGAGACAGTGTGAGGAAAAGACCAAACCAAAACCATGCCGTTCTTTCAGCAGCTGGTTCTCACTATTGCTTGTATTTTTTTTTTAAGCCATCAAAACATTTCTCCCTGGAAACAGTTTGACTGGAAATAATTTGTATTCTACTTGACAAACTTTAAGAGGTTTTATGAATGAGAACTTGTCTATTGTTATTATTATTATTATTATTATTATTATTATTATTATTATTATTATATAGGGAATGTGTGTATGAAGCTAAGTGATACAGGTATGCAGATATAGGATAGAAAAAGGGGTAAAATACCTACTGTTGCCACGTTACAGCATCCACAACCGAACCAGCGTTCTTCATGAACCTGGGTATAAAAACACGATGTTCATCAGCTGATTCACTTTAAAACACTACTGAGATACTAGCAGATTTCTTGTATAAAACAAGGACTTTTGATTAGTCTCATATCTCGGCCTCTTGACAAGGTTGTCAATGTTTGTGTGTGTGTATTTCTAACTGTTTGAGCCAAAGAGACACGTGAGAAACAAGACATGAGGACCGGGTAGTCTCAACCTGAAACTCTCCTTATTTGGGGCTTTCTGACCTGTCCAGATTCTTCAATCTAAACAGCTTGTCAGAAAGGCACTCTCACCAGTTAAAGATGTTTAGTCTTGGTTACATCTTTTAAATGACACTGATGTTATCTCCGTCCATTTAGCCTTTGTTTTTAAGCAGACAACTGTGGTAGACACACACACACGCACGCCTGAGACAGAGGCTGTGACCGTGAGACAAAGTAAAACCAGGGGAAAGACCCGGGTAAAGGAGAAGGGAAAGGAGGACCTCCTACAGTATCTCCCTCCTAATTCACAAATGTGTGAAATGGTATTCCAAGACTCTCTAAATCAAAATCATCAGCTCAGCTATAGTTAGTAAGAGTTTTATAGTAGTGAGTATTGCTAATATAAATGTTATATCTGTTGATGTGTACCTGCAGAAAAGCTCTAGCCAAAACATTGACGTCTAGCAGATCTTTTTTTAGCTGCCCTTATTATACTAAACAAAAATATCAACGCAACATGCAACAATTTCTAAGATTTTACTGAGTTCCAGTTCATATAAGGAAATAAGTCAATTGAAATAAATGCATTAGCCTTTAATCTGTGGCTTTGTTATGACTGGGAATACAGATATGCATCTGTTGGTCACAGATACCTTAAAAAAAGGTAGGGCCGTGGATCAGAAAACCAGTCAGTATCTGGTGTGAACACCATTTGCCTAATGCAGTGCGACACATCTCCTTCGCATAGAGTTGATCAGGCTGTTGATTGCGGTCTGTGGAACGTTGTCCCATTCCTCTTCCATGGCTGTGCGAAGTTGCTGGATATTGGCGGGAACTGGAACACGCTGTCATACACGTTGATTCAGAGCATCCCAAACATGCTCAATGGGTGACATGTCTGGTGAGTATGCAGGCCATGGAAGAACTGGGACGTTTTCAACTTCCAGGAATTGTGTACAGATCCTTGTGATATAGGGCCGTGCATTATCATGCTAAAACATGAGGTGATGGAGGTGGATGAATGGCACGACAATGGTCCTCAGGATCTTGTCACGGTATCTCTGTGCATCGAAATTGCCATCGATAAAATGCAATTGTGGTCATTGTCTGTAGTTTATGCCTGCCAATACCATAACCCCACCGCCACCATGGGGCACTCTGTTCACAATGTTGACATCAGCAAACCACTCGCCCACACGACGCCATACATATGGTCTGCGGTTGTGAGGATGGTTGGACGTACTGCCAAATTCTCTAAAACGATGTTGGAGGCGGCTTATGGTAGAGAAATGTATATGCAATTCTCTGGCAACAGCTCTCGTGAACATTCCTGCAGTCAGCATGCCAATTGCATGCTCCCTCAAAACTTGAGACATCTGTGGCGTTGTGTCACAAAACTGCACATTTTAGAATGGCCTTTTATTGTCCCAGGCACAAGGTGCACCTGTGTAATGATCATGCTGTTTAATCAGCTTCTTGATATGCCACACCTGTCAGGTGGATGGATTATCTTGGCAAAGGGGAAATGCTCACTAACAGGGATGTAAACAAAGTTGTAAACAAAATATGAGAGAAATAAGCTTTTTGTGCGTATGGAAGATTACTTGGATCTTTTATTTCAGCTCATGAAACATGGGACCAACACTTTACTATTTTGGTTCAGTGTACATAAGCATCCTAGAGCTATGCAAAAAAATGCTGCTCTGCCAAATCCATCTTTGTGGAGTGGAAACAAATCTACCATTTAACATATAACAAATCCAACATTTAACCTAACAAATCCACTACTTTTGGCAAGTCCCAATGGTGTGTCTAAGATAGAGGGGTGGAAATGTATATAAGAGGACTCGACAAAGATTATCTGGTCTGTGAGAGAGAGGAGAGAACAGAGAGGAGAGAAGAGAGAGGAGGGGACAGGTGGGACATCGCTCGGCCACCTTATCAATCCACTGACACTCTATACAGCTGACAGCCTATTTAACTAGACCAGGGCCTGGGACCATCAGACTGTAGGCTTCTACATAAACACTGGGCCTGTGTGAGTGTGTGTGTGTGTGTTGCTTAAATCAAATTTCTAAAAGATAGCCCCATTCCATAGTTCAGGACTTTTGTAGTGTGGCCATATATTGACAATGGTGTCAGTGAGGCGACTCACCCATCAAGCAGCAGAATGGCGTTTTTGCGTGGTCGTCCAGCGTTCGGGCCGAAGAGGTGTGCTCGGTTGTAGTAGCGTACAGACTGCAGTAGCGTTCTCAGCAGGGTGTAGTCCTGGGCTAGCTGGGAACTGTTCACTGTCTGACCCATCATGCTACGGTAGCCATTAGGCTCTGGAGAGAGATGGAGAGAGGGATTCAATTAAAGGTCAGGAAAGTGCTATAAACAGTATGATCCACCATTTTACAGTAACCATTCC